TAAAGCCCTACAATGTGCATCAAAATGCAAAACTGAATTCTATTTTCTTTTTCAGCTTTGCAAAGAGATGAGGAAGGAAATTGCTTTTTGAGCGGGGTGGTTGGAGCTGTTCCCCAGAACTCGCCGGATCTGCAGCTGGCCACAGAACGAGGAAGCTGAGTGCAGACGTTAGAAATCAGCCAGACAAGAACCTGGGTTTGATCCTGCCTTGTCACTCTCCAAGCAATGCAAGAACGTTCCCTGTAGCCGATTCTCCAGGGTTTTGCCCGGTCCCAATTAAGCCATTGCAGTCATAGGGTTTCCATGGCTGTCCCTGGGGAGAAGGCGGCCCAGGGTGACAGATCACCTAATTGTTTGGAGATTTTCTCCCGCATCCCGCCCCTCAGTCCTGGCCCTTGTTCCGATGACACCCTCACATGCTCATCACTCATATTACACACCGTTTCTTCTCAGGCTCCTTAGTCAAATGATCCCTCAGCTTGGGTTCAGGTCAGAGAGTGTCTGATCCCCTCCCCCCAGGAGGTCAGCACAGTGGCAGATGCCTGCCAGCCCCCCACCCCAGCCCCTCGCTGTAGGCACTGTGGTGCGAGGTGGAGAAGGCCAGGTATTCCGGGGGCCAGGGTGGTCCAGGTCACATCTCTATAAACTAAACTCTCGACAGGATCAGAGAGCCCTCAGCTTGGGTTCAGGTCAGAGAGTGTCTGATCCCCTCCCCCCAGGAGGTCAGCACAGTGGCAGATGCCTGCCAGCCCCCCACCCCAGCCCCTCGCTGTAGGCACTGTGGTGCGAGGTGGAGAAGGCCAGGTATTCCGGGGGCCAGGGTGGTCCAGGTCACATCTCTATAAACTAAACTCTCGACAGGATCAGAGAGCCCCGATTTGTTGCTGGGGGGGGGAGCTCGGTGCAACAGGGGGTGTCTGTGATGCTACAGGGGGAGCCAGGAGGGTCAGAAGGAGGTGGGGAGCCAGCCTGGAAGCCAGTGGGCTGGGCCAGGGGGGCTGATGACAGGGGTCCAGAAATGACCTCCCCTGGTCTGGCAAGATCCCTCATCCGGAAATCGTCAGGTCCCGAGGGACCAGGCAGGTGGGTCAGAAGGAGGTGGGGAGCCAGCCTGGAAGCCAGTGGGCTGGGCCAGGGGGGCTGATGACAGGGGTCCAGAAATGACCTCCCCTGGTCTGGCAAGATCCCTCATCCGGAAATCGTCAGGTCCCGAGGGACCAGGCAGGTTCAACCTGCAGTGGGTGGCAGAAAGATGGCTCGGTGGCACGGCAACCCCCTGGGGCCCACGCACGCACGGAACC